GTAAATATTTACAGAGCTGTTGGTATTATTACTTGTTGATGTTATGAAAAATTAGAGCTCCTAATCTTTGATGGTTGCCAACCCTCTTTTGGTTCAATGTGAATCTCATTATACATAATGTCAATATTTGCATCAGATTGTCAAATATTGGTAATGACTTATTTGTCTTAAATTGTCACGTGCTATTATTTTGTAAAACACTCATTATCTTCTCCCTTGTGTCAATGTCAAAATTGTTGGTGTTGTTAGTTGTTGATGGTCATGAAATAATTATAGACCAAACTTTGGATGGTTGTCAACACTATTTTGGTTACATCAGAATTCTTGTAGGAATGCTGTAAATAATAACATCTTATTATTTTACTTGTTATTGAGTGGTATGAATCCTATGAGGCACATTCTGAACATAATGTCAATAATTACATTCTGAACATAATGTTAATATTTACATTGTAACATTTTGAACATAATTTTAATATTCACATTCTGAACATAATGTTAATATTCACATTGTAACATTCACATTGAATATTTACACGATATATTTGGCTGTGAACATTCACAGTCAAATAAATAATGTAATGATGTGAATATTAACATCATGTTAGTTTAATATTTATAATATGTTATTATTCCATATTTCATCTGTTATTTTCCTCCAATTTTTTGGTTGTTATCCTTGTTGGAATTGTTGATTATAATCAAATGATTTGAACTCCCAAAAGTTTGTTCATTTTTCAAACACATGAACTAATCACATGATATATGATCCATGTGATTGTTCACACCATTTATTTGATTTTTATTGTTTTATCCTATGTTGTACAGTGTTCATGTGAATATTGACATCATGATTTTGCTCAATGCAACTATGGTCACATTATTCAACTATTCACAGCACATATAGTTTGCACTTATTATGATTTACCATTTGTGACCATTAACAGTAAATTTGTTTCTAATTGAACAAACAGATGTTGCTCATAGATTTCATGGAAAAAGAAAAAGAGAACAGTTCCACGTCAAAGACAAACTTGAACAAATAGCCAACCCCCCGAAAGTGAACATGAAAAAGGTCAACTACAGATCTAACATCATTGGGTTAGTGAAACTAATGACGAGCACCAAGTTCTTGGATCCTCAGCTGGATTGTTTGAAGGAAACGCCATTTTGGCAGTTGTTTAACGTGTTAAGGATTGGTAAAGTTGACCTCAACAAATGCATGAAGTTCAACGATGTCATCGCATGCGTGCTAGAGACGCACAAGGCATCAAAAGACACATTTTACATAGGCGAGAAAAATATGAATATGAATTTCACATCATTTGCGATTTTGTAAATATTAGAATACATTAGACAAAATAACCATAATTAGTTATTTTGATTGTGCTTAATAAGATACAATGACATGTTGTCATAATATTTGCTACTAGAAAGTCAATGTTAATATTCAAATTGGTTTATGTTGTCTTATAATTATGTACACATAACCATCGGCTTAATGTAACTAAATTAATTTATTTGATATTTTATTTGTGATATTAACATTCACATCAATAATCTAATTGTGCATAAATGTACACTTCATGTTTGTGTACACACAGGAATGATGGTTTGTGATTAATGCAATGCTGATGTAGTCATATTTTTAGAGATTAAAAAATCAATGTAAACCTTCACATTGTTGTCAGCTGTTTTACAATTGTGTACATATAATCACTGGCTTAATGTGATATGTGGGCAATGCAATTTTGATTTAAACTTTAATATCATCATTTCATATTAGTAATTAATACTTTGAAATCATAGTACATTTATCTATATTCTAGAATTCATGTGAACCTTCACATTCATATGTTTTAGTGTGAATATTCACATCATGTTTGTATTCAAAATGAAAGTTGAGGCTTGTGATTGTGTAATTTGATGCAATACTGATGTGAACCTTAACATCACATTGTCACAGTGGTAATGAACACAACGAAAACATATTCATCATTCAATATTATATGGGTGTGTGACTAATATTAACATCAATTGACAACACAATGACAAATTTTCAATTCGAATTAATGTGAATATTGACACTGATTAATAATATGAACATTTACATCATTTTTATATCAGACACATTACCAATCTCAAAAAATCATTACTACATTGAAATCCAATAACAAAAAATCAAAATCAATGACAATAACAAAATCATGTTTACTAACCTAGTTTTTTGTCCAAAACACCCTTGTTACATTTTTTAATGTCTCTTGCCATTCAAACCAACAGAATCCGAAAATATAGGAGCACGCTTAGGCAAAGCAAACATAATTCCACAAAAATCCTATATTCCATACGTGTGAAATCGTCTCATCATCTCATCGTTTCATCACCTTAACTCCTTTATTGTCTCTTCTACGTCGTCGGCTGTTGGAATCACCATTGTCATCCTTCGTTTCTGCTGTGAATCTTCACAATGATTATCTGTGACAATCCAACTGTCTTATAATGGGTACCAAACGTAACTGATTTCACTCATTTTGTTTATAAATCTTAAACCCTAACTATTTTTTGTACCAATGCAAACTTCTACACATCCCCATGATTATATTGATATAATTTTGGTATTTATTGTTCATATTATTGTTGTTATTTCCCTTTCTTGCAGTTGTTGTTGGTATTGATGATATCCCTGAATGGATGTAAATCCCTTAAAGTTTTTGTTTTTTTTCATATATATATATATATATATATATTTTAACTGTTGTTGTTGCTATTCCCATGATGTAAACATTCACATAGAAACCATGGTGTGCATAAAATTGTTACATGATTGTTGTGGACCACTTCATTTGTATGTTACATTGTGAAGATTTACATCAAGTTAATACTTATAAAAAACCTCATTTCTTGGACTTGTTATGTGATATGTGGATAAAACTATTGCTTTTTGTTGTTGACATTCATACCAATGTGAATATTCACAATATGTTTTGATTCCCATAAAAATTGTAGCGTGTGATTATTGTATTGTTAATGCTGTCATGTTTTTGTACTTTATAAGCTATAAATGTGAACATTCACATCATTCTTATATTCAAAACAAGACTTATTTTTGTGGCTGTGTAATATGATACACTGTTAATGTCAATCTCCACATTAACATTGTGAATTAACATGTGTATGTGGACATAATGTGAAAAATACCTTTGACAATTATCCATTCTCACTTAATGTTGTCCATGTTTGTCAACTTCATATTCACATCATGTTTGGGTATGATGCAAAAATTTATAGTTTGTAGTTGATGAATTGGTGCTATTGTCATGGTGTTTGATATTATGTAGTTATTGTGAATATTTACATTTGTGCTATTTGGTTATAAATGTGTGCCCATAACCATTGTCTTAATGTGCATCATTTTAAATGTCATGTTAATGTAAACTTTAACATTGGCAGTGGTAATGAGCTTCCCATTCTACAAAACTTAGTCACACCCAATGTTACATAGGTGTGTGAATACTATCATTCATGTGTGTGACCATTCCTATTTATGCCTCATTAGCAATGTGGACATTTACATCTCTAATTGCATGAATATTGTTGAATGTGAACATTCACAGTGACTAATGATGTGATGATGTCAATGTGCACATATGCCCCACAATTCTATTGAAACCTAATTTAATGTTCATGTAGACACTCGCTATTGTGTATATCCATATAACAGATATTGCACCTAAAATCTGCGCAAAAAGAAAGAGGAAGGAGTATCATGTCAAAAGGAGAGCATGCCTATAGAGAGAAGCACCCACATCAACATACACTATGTCAATTACTGATCGAACATTATGAGCTTAGTGCAACTGATAACAAGCACCAAGTTCTCAAAGGCTCAACTGGACTGCTTGAGGCAAACTCCATTTTGGATATTATTTGATGTATTGATAAATGCTAAGATCGACCAATGCATGAAGTTTGATAACGCTATCATACATGTGTTGGAAACATACAAGCCCATCAAAAACTATTATTGATATGAATATTATGATTTTCTCCGATACAAAACCCATGATGTACAAAATCAATGTATCCACTACCAATGGATATGAACTTCATATCTTTTGTGATTTTGTAAATATTGGAATACATAAGATAAAAGAATTAGAATTAGTTATTTTGATTATGCCTACTAAGATACATTGGTATGTTGTCATAATGTTTGCTATTACAAAGTCAATATTAATATGTACATTGGTTTCTATTGCTTTATAATTGTGTATACATAACCATTGGCTTAATGTGACTAAACTAATTTATTTGGCATTTTATTCGTGATGTTAACATTCACATCAATAATCTAATTGTGAATAAATGTATAATTCATGTTTGTGTACACATGGAAATAACGATTTGTGGTTAATGCAATGTTGATGTTGTCATATTTTTAGAGATTATAAAAATCAATGTAAGCATTCACATTATTGTCAGTTGTTTTACAATTATGTACACATAATCATTGGTTTAATGTGATTTGTGGGCAATACAATTTTGATGTGAACTTTAATATCACCATTACATAATGGTAATTAACACTTTAAAATCATATTGTCTTCATCTGTATTCCAGAATTCATGTGAATCTTCCCATTTGTATGTTTTAGTGTGAACATTCACATCATGTTTGTATTCAAAATGAAAGTTGAGACTAGTGGTTGTGTAATTCGATCCAATACTGATGTGATCTTTAACATCATCTTGTCACAGTGGTAACGAAGGACAGTGAAAACGTATTTACCATTTAATATTATATGTGTGTGTGAATATTAATACCGATTGACTACGCAAAGACAATTTCCCATTTCAAATTAATGTGAATATTAACATTGGTTAATAATGTGATGATGTTTACAAAAAAAATAAAAAACAACGGTGTGATAATGTTTACAAAAAATCAAAAACAATAGTAGTAACATAACCATAAATCCAAAAAATCTCAATCTCATCAAAAATAAAAACCATCACCTACATCCTTATCTTTACCATCATCATCATCATCACTATCATTAACAACCCCTACAATTCTATCATTACACCAATTCAAATTAAACCAAACCCACCTTTGATGAACAAGTCTGTAACAAAATAAACTTAATACAACATCGAGCTTCAAATCATTCTCTCTCCTTTTGATTGGCATCCTTCTCTTTATCTTCGATCTCTAGTTAAAATTGCAACCATGGCAGAAATAGTGCTTTGAAACGTTCTCTCTCCCTTTAATCTCAACCAACATGTAAGAACATACTTTGACACTCATCATCATTGTCCAAATTACACCTATTAATCTCAAGTAGCCGATAGAACAATGAAACACAATCGGCAGATAACTCGCTCCATTTTTCACACATACACTCCACGAAATGTGAATAAGACAACGTTTGCACCATATTTGTTACAATAGTACTACACCCATATGAGCACACCAACAACATGAAGGTATCCATCTGTTGCAAAAATACAAAAATAAGGAAGTGAACAACTACATTATAGCCAATGATATGTGAATATTTACATTGTTCACATAATCTAAATTATCTAACTAAACAGAGATGGCACACCAAATACTACAAAAACCGTATGAAAACAATCACAAAACAACAAGAAAAAATAAGCTAATTAACCAAAAATAACATTTTACCAATGATCCACCACAATCAATTTGTTCAAACAACTATACATGCATCTCTGTCAAATATTTGAAACTCAAACAACAAAAAATATACATGCATTACCACTAAAACAATCAGTATGTCATTCATCAGACATACACTTGCATTACCCATGTATTCTAAAAAATGCACATGATTCAAAAACAGAGCATGCAATCCTTTACATAAATGAACAATACTAACCTTGAGAAAGAAATTCTGTAATCAGTCATTGTGAACATTTATGTTGGTGCTATGTGCTTATAAATGTGTGCACATAATATTACCATTACCATTTTTTTTTACAGTTGTTGTTGTTATTATTGTTGTTGGTATTGTTCAAAAGATGTGAACCTCTTAAAAAAAAAATCCAAAAAATAATGATATAATTGTCTGTTATGATGTCCATTTTTGTACACTTGATTTGCTATGACCATTTACACAATGTAGACATTCACATGGGAAATATTTTGTGATGTTTTCTAAACATTCACATTGATAATTATATTTGCATATAAATGTATACACATTACAATTGTCTTAATATTTTCTAACCATTCACTAGTCCATAATGGTTATTATATCGTTTGGTTATGTAACTTGATAAAATGTTGATGTCAATGGCAAAATCACATATGTGCACTCACTTGTGTTTGTAAATGTATCCATTAATACTTACATATAAATGATCAACTGCTTATTTTCAATATGGCAGTAACCTTACGTCGAATTGATTATAATAGAGATTTATCATTCTAGTTGGAGGTAAGTTGGCAACCCATAATGTGAATATTCCAAACAATGTAAAGTGTGAACATCCACATCTGGTCTCTTACGTTGAAATTGGTGTGAATGTTCACATCGTAATTTATGTTAAGGCCCATTTTCAATTACATTATGTCCTATGTTTATTATAGTTGACTATAGATGTAAATATGCACATTGTACATAACTACAGTGTATGTCCATCCACAAACATACTACAATTAATGTGAATCTTCACATCTATTTATTACATTGTGAATATTCATATCATTTTTTTGTCCAAATAAACATTGTGGCTTGTGGTTATATGACTAAATACAACAATTTGATGTGAACTTTAACATCATAATCGCATAGTAGTAATGAATACGGTGAAAATATATACACTATTCAATATTATATGGATGTGTGAATATCCACACTAATTGACAACACAAATGACAAATTTTCGTTACAGATAATGTGAATACTAACACTGATTAATGATGTGATAAGATTAACAAAAAACCAAAAATAATGGCAGCAACAGAATTAGAAATTTGACAAATCTCAATCTCTCAAAAAATAAAAAATCATCACTCACATCTTCATCTTCATCTTCATCTTCATCTTCATCATTATCACTATCAATAACAACCCAAGCAATTCCACTATTACACCAATCTAATCCAAATCAAACCAAATGCACATTCAAAGAATAAGTTTGTAACAAAATCGACTGGATACAAAATTGAGTTTTGAATTCGCTCTCCCCATTTGATTCAAATCCTACTCTCTCCCTTTGATTTTTGGTTGGAATTACATCAATGGAAGAAGACAATCTTCGAACCCAAAAATTATTTTTAATTTTTTTTTTTTTTGAACTACACCTATGGAAGAACCCATATGAGCAAACCAACAAAAATATACATGCATTACCAGTAAAAAATCAGAACCTCATTCATCAAACATACACTTGTATTACCCATGTATTCAAGAAAATGTCATGATTCAAAAACAGAGCATGCAATCATTTACATAAATGAACATGCATTCATAAACAAAATGATACTAACCTTGAGAAAGAAATTCTGTAATCGTTCTCCACCTTCGATCAACGACTGGTCTCCAACAATTATGTAACAAACCAGAGCAGACACAAACACCAAACTACGAAAACGAACACACCTATGGACAGAAACCCGGCGTCGTCGTCTTTTTCTCTCCCACTGCACAGAAACCCGTCGTCGTCTTCTCTCCACTACACCGAAATCCTGCCATAATGGAGCCTTACCATAAACAATCGACATTGATTAACTGAATCAGATCCATCAATGTGAATAACACTAATAAACAAAACAGAGACATGTATTTCCCTATTTTTGTATATATTACGTATCAACATAACATATAAGGGTATAATAGTCCCAAAAAAAATATAAAATTAGGAAAAAAGGATCTCATGGAATAAAAGTACAAACATATGGGACTAACTAGGTTATAAATTTCTTTCTTGGACTTATTGGATTAGAACACTCCTAAATGTGGTTTATCAATAAAAATCTCTTAATTGAACCAATATCTATATTGAAGTATGCGGTAAATTATATTTTTAAATTAATTGAATTTTTTTTTTATGAAACTTTATAAATAAGATATTTACAAATTCATATAAAACTTTAAAACAAAATGAATTTGTATTTTGAATTTATAACAAAAATATTTTTGAAAATAGTGACAAAATGTGTAATACATTTTAAGCATATTTAGACTGAGTGGAGCTAAAAATTGATTTTTGTTTTACCAAATGTCACTTTACCCCTTGTGGTTTGGGCTATGTGCGATTTACCTCCCTAACGTTTTTCCCTTTCCAAAGCAATCAATCCAAACAAGCTGTTAAACTTACCTTCCTGAATATACTGATTTGTACAAAAATTCACTTAGATTAGATCTCTCATGAAATTGAAACTACAAAGTCGAAGAAAAAGAAAAAAAAACTCGCATGTAGGTTCTAATATGTGAATTTATTATCTAATATATCATATGATAATTAATGATATTTTTCATCAAATACTAAAAAAAATCACTAATTGTTAATTTTCAGTAACAGTTTAAAAAAATTATCACAAAAAATTCACTAATTTTCAACTTTCAGTAACAGTTAAAAAAAATCATTACAAAAAAAGTTATTAATTGTAAGTTTTAGTGACAATTTATAAAACTGTGACAAAAAATCACTAATTGTGAATTTTTAGCGACATGCAAAAAAATCATCACAAAAATTATTTTTAGCGATAATTTTACTAGAACTTATTTTCAATAAGACTTGATGGGAATTAAATCTAACTATTAGGACCTATTGGTAGTTTACCTGAAAGAAAAAAGAAAAAAAGAGACATATAACTATGAAAATTTCCGCCACATTCACAATAACAAGATCAGTTTTTGTAAAAGATCTGGGAAATTGATTCTTATAATTGACCAATTTGTACAAACAACAATGCTAGGTAGCTCAAATTTTTGTGGCTCAAATGGCTCAAATCTGTCAAAACGACGTCGTTTTGACAGATTTTGAGTGTAAAACGACGTCGTTTTGACAGATTTGAGCCATTTGAGCCGCAAAAATTTGAGCTACCAAACATTTTCCTTTGTACAAAATGCCACAATGACAGGTTATTTTGGCCCTAAAATGTACGAATTGGTCCATTATATGAATCAATTTCACATATTGTTTTTGGAAATTTCATGGGCATTTTTGTAAACTTATCATAAAATATTATTCACTGATTTTAGTTTACAAAAAGTATTAAATATGTTTATGTTTATTTTTAATAAAAACAAAACAAAAATCATGTTTGGTAAACTCATGTTTTAAAAGCTTATTTTGAAAACAAGTGAAAAATATCGTGTGACATTAGTTATTAACAATTGGACATGATAGCCGAACATGGTTGTTGGCTGTTGGAGGTGGTGGGAAAAGGTGATTACCGGTTGCCGTTGAAGATGGTTACCGATCACAGGATATGGTGGCCAAAAAAATGGTCATCAACAGTCAGATATACTGGCCGAAGATTGTTTTTGACAAGTGATAGGGGTCAAAAATGGTTACCGCTGATAGGAGGTGGTTTCCAACTAAGGGAGATGGTAACTAGATATGGTTGTCGTTGATGATGGTGACCGGTGATGGTTATGATCAGTGAGTCATGGTTGCAGGTGTGGTTGAGAAGGGGGATTCCAAATAAGTGAAATCAAGTTTTATATGATGATAACAAATTAATAAATTTTGTAAACAATTTACAATAGATGCCACATTTTTGTTTATAATTTTCAAAAATTCTATAAATATAAACAAAAAAAAGTAATAAACATAAATGTTAACAAATAGTTTCAAAATCTATCTATTTTTCAAGGGTTATCTTACATTTCCGAACTGCAGACCACTTTCAGCTACTTCATATGCATTACTAGGCATATTTGAACAAAAAGGAAGCACACCACCATCAAAAAAATAAAGATTTTTCTTAAGTGTGCAACTTACACCTTACACTTACGCCTTTCTGTTTACTGTCCTGTTTTATGTTTACACCTTCCACTTACACCTGTTATGTTGGTTGCATATGGTTTGCAACCTTAAGGGGTTCAAAAGATATTTGAAACTAAATGAATAGATATATACAATAAAACCCTTATCTGCCCTTAGTTAACTCTGTGTGTGTGTGCACACATGCATGCATGCACGCCTTTGTAAATTTTAACATTATTGAGAGAGTCATTTTATCTTAATATTGTGGCAGCGCTTGCGGTGCTGTGCTGCTGATATGTGGCCTCTACGGATTCTTGTGGGCAAAACACGAGGAAGGAACAGCTGAGAAAAATGATGAAGGAAAAGCCGAGAAAGTTGAACAAAAATCGGACACCATAGTGGAAAATGCCTAATAGTGACTGATTGATTGCATGGTGGGATAGGGGTTGTTGCAAATGGCTTTGATAAAGACATTTCCCAATTTTAGGGGCATACAAAATATATATATATATATATATATATTTCTCACTAGGGTTTCTAATTGGAATTAAGAAGCTTGTAGGGTCCACCCTTAGCTACCCTTCATTTTGATTGGTTACTGAGAATTCAAGGAAAAAAGAAAAGAAAATGTCTTATATATATAATAATCACAGGCACATTTAGCCTCTGTTTGGCAAGATGGTTTTCAGGCTTTTTTGGCTATTTTAGCCACAAAAAACAAAATAGGCTATTTTAGCCATAACAAACAAAACATCACATCCAACCTATAATCATTACATTCTTCTCTCACAAAAAAAGTCAAAAAAGCCAAAAAGCCAAAAAGTCCTTCCCAAACCAAGCTTTTTAGCCCAGGCTAAAATAGCCAAAAAAGCCAAAAAGCCAAAAAGCCAACCCACTTCCCAAACCAAGCCTATATTATACCAGACTCAACTCTCTACTCTAAGCAAGGTTCAATGAACTGTACAACCTTTAAGAACCACTACTATTAACAATTACTAACAAAATTGAAGAAAACCAATATTGACCTCACATATTGGGGAATAAATATGAAGATTGCTTACCTAAAACGATTGCCAATGCATCAAAATGAGAATTGAAATCAAATATAAGATACTCGGACTCCAAACTCTTCTCATCATTAACAAGGTAATACTTCAGTCCATCTTGTATGCCCAACCATGGTTGTCAAGAAACGCTTGGACCGCTTCCTTTATGGATAAATTTGGTATCAGTTGAGATTGATCAAGAGGTTCACGTGTGACCGGATCAAAATTTCCCACCTAAGTTGTGGTCAAATCAGAAATCAATACATTATGGACACCAAAACTCAGCTATACAAATCGAAATCAAATTTTACCTTCTGGAGATGGTCAACAATCACTGCCCTCTCGTATGTAATCCCAGTAGGAGTAATGACAGGATCGTAGAAAATATCATATGAAATTTTACAGCAGAGATGATCTGGTACCTGAAATCATCAATCGTGGAAATTATTCACAAATTACAGGTTTTAAACTTCTAAGAAGGAAAATGAGCAATTAAATGTCCCCAACGCTCACCTCAGTTGGCAGGTCAACTTCTGCTGCTTTATCAAAAACGCGTCCTAGAAGCTCCAATTGTGCTGAAATGGCATTAATGTCTTCATCTGAAACCCCTTCCGGTTGAGAACTATCAAGAAATTGTTTCTCTACAAGAGCATGCTCACAAGCTACCCTGAGGCATGCACAAACGAAGATAAGGAAAATCTAACAACACAATGGACAAACAAGTACATCACTACACTAAAAACTTCAATGAGGTTGTAACTTGTAAGAACTTAGAAGGAACCCCTATCAAACATTAAGACTGTATTTGGATCAAGGATTTGAAGAGTAATTCGTGGGCAAGAAAGTAAAGGAAAGCGAAATGTGACAAAAATTAGTTTCTATTTCATTTACTTTTCTTTCCCCAAATCCCTCCTCAAATCTTTGATCCAAACACAGCCTAAAAGCCTGAACACACTTGGAAAAGCACGTACTTCAAGGATTGCAAATCCCACAACCGCTTCGAAGATTCACGCTCCCATTCCAGGTATTTGGCTGTCATGAACTCCTTCCATATATCCCCTACTATATAACTCCTAGGGTTTGCACCTCTACCCCCAAGGTCCAAAACCTATAGAAGTAATTTGGATCACACTTCAGTAAAAGTTTTGATGCTTGCAAAACATATCATGCTCATTTTGTCACAAAGGTGGAACTAATTTCCCCTTCTGAAAAATATAGCAGTTTCTTAGTGATGCAAAGGGAACAAAATATCAAGCTCAAAACATGCACGTTAATTTAGCATCTGTTTCAACAAATTAGCCTGAAGTAGAATAGTACCATAGGTCCATAACACACTAGAGTTTGTTAAAAACCAAAACCATGTTCTCTGAAACTACATAATCAGTTGATTTTTTTTTTTTTTTAATTTACTTTTTTGTTTGGTCTATATTTTTCCCCCAATTTCATTTAAATAAGAGTAAAAATCCTGCAAGCTACAACTAGCAATTTTTGCAAAGCCACAAAATACAACGTAATCAATTCATGGCATGACAACACAACCCTTAAATGCATTTTACAACAAAACCATGTACCCTTCACTACCAGGGTATGTTGCAACTTGTGAAACTGAAGTTCTTTGAACTCCAAAAAAATAAGGCAATTCAAACTATAGCTTCAATGATATTCTAGTAAAATCTCGCAACTAATAAAACATAGGGTATCAAGAAAAAGAGAAGAAGAATAAATATCAAAATTGGTAATCTGCAGATTCTTAGAAGTGCTGAAAATGCCTATCCACCATACACCACCAAATAACCAACCGTAACACCTTCCCACTGGCTACCATATGAGGCTGACTAAATGCTTACAAACCGCAGTGTTCTTTGAGACATTACCAATCCACCATTTAATTTCCACTTTGTTGATTAAAACAATAGATCATGAAGTCAGCAACAGACCAGAGTAATATTTTACCACTAGCTGGTAGCCTAAGTGTTTACCTTTTATGTTTGGCTAGTGCATCTGCGATTTCTTACATATCCTAAAAAGAGGAGGTAGAGAGTTCAATAAAGTGAGTAGGGAAACAAAATGAAGGCAGTTCAAATAGAATTACTCTCAAAATAATAAAATGTGTAGCACCAACGAATCCATCATTCCAAATCAAGCTGTAACAAATTCACATTTACAGTTTTATCCCTTAATGAATCATATACTGTCCATGATAACTGATAAGTAATGCATACATTTTTCACTAAGTTCAACATATTAGTCCATTTTGGAACAAAACCCACAACTTGCATAAGATTAAACTAGAAGAGGAAAAAAAAAAAAAGGGAAGAAGAAAGAGAACACTGACTGATGACATTGGACTAGAAATTACAGCATTCAAGGCCCCAAAAAGAAATAGTTAAAAGACCCCGGTAGTATTTGGTTCACTGGAATAGAATGATTATTTTATCAGAATGTCCATTATCACGTTTGGTTCACCAAAAAAATGATAGAAATGCATTGCAGACGAAATATTCATTCACCAATGTAAGGAAATGATCTTTTCAGAGGAGGCTACCAAAACCATGAGGGGGCAAAGGGAGGGCTAACTAATCGTACATAAATTATGTCAAGTAATAGTTATAAGATTTTATCAAAAAATGCAAATTAAATAAGCCAAAACTCATTAATTGTCCTCAAAAACATTTCTATATAAAGAAAAAATAAATGCCACTACAAACTAGGATTTCAATCTTAAGTCACCACCACTATTTACACACAGACAAATGTACATACATACATGCATAATTATATATGTCCAAGGATGTACGGATATGAACATATGACACAACACAGACATGCAAATTTTCAAAAAATGCAAGACATGACATGCTAGGGACACCTGCAAACCGTATAACTCTATGTATTCATTATTATGTCATATTTTTGAATACTATATATGTATTTTATGCCAAATATTTAATATCATCAAATTCATTAACATTGGGTATTCTATTTTGGTTTTAAAAAAAAAAAAAAGTGTCTGCAACGTGTCCTCAGCATGTCACAATGCGTCCCAAGTGTCCAGCGCATGTCTATGTTACATGATCTTTGCAGAGGTGTATGTGCTTCATAGAATATGCCTTACTTTGCATGAAAACTGATGTCTTTTTTGCATAAAACAAACAGAAGAACTCAAAATTTGCATTAGGAGAAGTATCGTACTCTTTTCAATTCCTTGATTCCTTCACTATATTCGTGTTTCTTTAGCAATGCACGCCCTAGCATGTAGTGTGCCTGCCATTTCCAAAACATGTCAGAACTAAGTTAGATTGTTGTAACAAATGTATACATCAGATAAGAAAATTAACTTCCTTTCAATAAAAACAAACTAAATGAACATGTAACAATTTAATCAACTAGGACCATGCTACCATGGTGTTAAAATCCACCCACTACACCACTACCACCTCACCTACTCCACTAAACCTAACCCACTACACCACTATCACCTCCACTTCACCTACTCCACTAAACCTAACCCACTACACCACTACCACCTCCACTTCACCTACTCCACCTACCACCTACTACCACCTACTCTTCTATATATAGGAATCATTGTAATATATCAATAAACATCAATCAATAATACATAAATTTTTACACATGGTATTCCTTGGAGAACATTAGAAAGAACAAGCTAGCAATAAAAGTCAAACTCCTCAATGATGTGCAAATTGAAGATAAACTTTCTTTTCTGAGTGGCAGCACAAAACTATTCTGCTATATATTGCATGCACGCTAAAGAAGATATTGCTAGAGAGGTGACACACTCCAGGATAATATCATATTGGAAATGTGAACTCTTTCTTGCAGCAGAAAAGATAAATATAAACACCATCTGACAAATCACCGCACATATAACAAAAAAGGGAAGCACAAGGTTGGAGGTATCAGATGTACAGAGTCTTGCAAATAATTAAAGCAAATTTTCTATGAAGCACAAATCGCATCAGCATTTAATTTTGATGAACAGCAACAAGCAAGGAATTTTCATCTCCCAGCAACCATCAATGGTAAGACGGTAAGATGAGAAGTCTTTATCAAAGCAACATGAAACTTACGGGGCAAGTATGCAGGTACAAAATGGGATGTCTCTAATCTTTCTCAACACAAAAAAACCAGCACAAAAGCAAAGACAGTAAGATGAGAAGTCTTTACCAAAGCAACATGAAATTCATGGGGGAAGTATGAGATAGAAAATGGGATGTCTCTAATCTTTCTCAACACAAAAATACCAGCACACAAACAAAACATTAAGTTTACAATTTCATTAACTTCACACAATCTAGAACAAATTTCATTTATTTATTAATGTTAGAGGCAACATCAATACGATGTCCAGTATAAATCCATCACAACCATCATACAAAAATACGTGTGTTTCTTTCTTACTGCATAGTCAGTCCTCCTTTAGCAAGGGTTTGGTTGCATTTTCTTTTGTATATACCCTCTCTTACATCACTTTTTGGCTCTGTACATGGTGGCAAATTTTACTATCTCCAAACAAATCTTGGGTATAATTATGGGGCAAGTAATCCCAATTACCTAACATAAGCGAAGTGGACTTTCGACAGAGTGCTAAACTTTAGCATTTACTTGAAAGGCCGAGAAAAGGACTCTCCTAGATACTCATCGCACTGTTATAAAGAATTCAAATTATTTCCAAGTTCCATACAGACACCTTGTATGAAGGCAGTCAGTTAAACCCAAGATTCAAAGAGTCTTTCATGCTCCAACCTTTGAACAGTTGGTAAGTTACATTATAGAATAAGCATTCAAATACTTCACACCTTTGAAGAGTCTATGAAATCATCAACACTGATATAAAAATAAAAATAAAAACCAAATGATTAGAAAATACCAATAATTCTGAAAACGGTGAACTTATGCCAATACCAAGGTAGTGAATGAGATGAATTTAGCAGCCCTAACCTTGACAGAATTGGGATCAAGCTGAATGGCTCTTATACAATCCTCCTCAACTTTCTTCCAATCACTACAAAACACCCACCCACAAAGCAAAAACCAAAACATGATCGGCATCAAAAGGAATAACACAAATAAAATTGGGCGAATTACACTAACGGTCCCTATAGTTTAGGACTTGTATCACTTTGGTGCCGACTTTTCAATTGTAACACATTTAACCCTTAATTTTGAATCTTGTTTCAAATAAGGACAATTGAAAATCCATTGCTCAATTTCAAAGGTAAAGTGGTCAATTTGATAAAATATAAACTAGTTTGACAAAAATAAATTTCAAAAAAATATTTTTTAATTTTAAAAAATTATTTATACCCACCCAAGATAAAATTATATCAAATTGATAAATCTTTTACATATTTATTTATTTATTTTTAACAAATTAATTTTTGATATATGTTTGGATGATGATCATGTAATGGGTGTTTGTTTTATTTTCATTAAATTAGTTTCTATTTTTTCAAAAGTCAAATATGACGACAACTTTGATATCATTATTAAACCAATCCATTAAATCAAAAAATCCAAAACTAAAAACATTTCATATGTTCAACATATCGATTACACATTAAAAGCCTAATAATCATCCATTACATGATAATCATCCAAAAATATTAGTTAACAACAAATACAATCACCTATTACATGATAACCATAAAAAAGAATATAACAAAAAACCAACCATTACATGATCATCATCCAAAAACATAATAAAAGTTAATTTGATAAAAATAAATAAATAAATAAATATGTAAAGATTTATCAATTTTACATAATTATTTTTGGTGGGTAGAAATAATTTTTAAAAATTCAAAAATATTTTTTTGACATTTATTTTTGTCAAAGTAGTTTATATTTTATCAAATTGACAACTTTGCCAGTGAAATTGAGTAATGATATCTTCAATTGTTCTTATTTGGAACAAGATTCAAAATTTAAGGTCAAATGTGTCACAATTGAAAAGTCAGGACCAAAGTGACACATGCCCCAAACTATAAAGACTATTAGTGTAATTCGCCCAATAAAATTTAACACTAATAATGGTAAAAATAAAAGGGTAAACAAATGAAATAGAAAGAAGTGTATTTGCTCATACATACTTCCGCTTGCAATGGCATATAGCGCGGTTCGTCCAATACACAACAACATCAGGGCACAAGGTGATTGCCTAAAATCCCCAGAAAAACAAAATAGAGTATACAAAAATCAGAAATGCATGCAACACAGAACAAATCACAGACCAATAAAATTAAGAAACAATTATCCTTCTTTTATAATGAACTCAAAAATTGATAAACCTAGAAATACATCTTCTATACTATTATATAAAGCGAACAACTTATTTGGTGTGAACAGATTTTTGAAGCTCTGTAATGCTTTTTACATACTGAAACTATCCATAACCCGATAAGAATTACTACGCTGCTCTTTCCACTATCTTTTAATTTGACTATGAGAACAAATCAGTAAAGCACAATGCAAACGACCTCAGTGTCTTATGAAAAAACTACATCACCAATGATCACAACAATGAGATAGTTACTGAAGTACCCATTCGGTTACAAACTCTAAACTGACAGTAGGAATAAAGATAGTAATAGAATTGGTTTTGCGGATGTGGGCAAAAGCTATGCATGATAAGAAAGCAGTTGGCAATGTGAGTGCATCTAGAGATAATGAAACAAAAGGGGGTGGGTTGGTGAGCACTGGCTACTCTAGAGGTACCATAAAAATTGTTAGGTGACCGGTATGTTGCTCCAACCCCATGCATGCATGTAGAGAGTCATGCAAAGATGGCATATGAGGACCTCCACCACAAGTGAAAGTCTGAACTGGGCATCTGCAAAACTCTCCCTTCTCTTCACATTGTTGTCTTTGTTGATTCTCATCATTAACCATTAATGAAGGTAGAAATTTTGGGTGGAATTTGCCTTCCTCTCCCTCACTCTCTGTGTATAAATAGAGACGGAAGGGAGAGGATGTATCATCAGAAATTGAGAGATAGAGAGTTGTGAGTTGAGTGAAAGTTGTTCTCCTCCTCTGTTTTGTATTTGCTCTGTTTAGTGAAATTCTCATTTCTGTCCGTGGACATAGGCATTGGGTCGAACCACGTAAATATTTGTGTTCTCTGTGTATGTGTGATTGCTTCTTGTTATTTTCTGGGTGTCCATGATCCTAATAAAGTGGAATCAGAGCCGGTGGAGTGTTTTTCGACAAAACAGAGTGTCTTTCAAAATTTGCCTAGAATTCAAAGTGGTCGAAATCTACTTTTGATCACACCGCGCAAAAGCCCTCGACGAGACGAGCACACTGGAAAAAACCGCATAAAAAATGGAGGTCGAAGGAGGCCGCACACACCACACGCGCACTTGATGCCGTTCTCACGCGTCGGCGACTGGCCACACGCACTTCACGCGCAAACCCAGTAGAGAAGACGATCTGACATCATCCGCTGACGTCATCTGAGCCGAGCCGGAGTCGTCTACCACACCACTGACCAAGCCACCGTTGACTGAGCCGCTGACCGACGCCACGCCGCTAACCAAGCCACCGTTGACCGATCTAAGTTGACCAAGTTGTTGACCAAGCCGAGCCGCTAACGCCACGCTGACGTCAGCCAGTCCAGAGGAATTATCTGATGCTTCTCAGACGCTCCCGATTCTGCAGATATGAACCCGTTCAACCTGTTTTGGTTTGATCTGAGCCATTCTAAGTTCGTTTTTGACGATCCAATAGTGCTTTCCAACTATTTGGAATATTCCAAACACATCTGTATAGTCAGATTTTGCAAATCAGATTTCAAAAATTTGCAGTCTTTATTTTGGCAATCCAAAGTACTTTTCCGGCTAATTTGATCAGTCCAAACTCAACGGCGAAGTCTGATGGAGGAATCAACGTCGACTTCAAGATCCATGATAAAGCTGAACGCTTCCAACTATGCAATTTGGAAGCCCAGAATGGAAGATGTCTTGTACTGCCGAGATTTGTTTGACCCTATTAAGCTTCATGGAGTCAAACCAACTACGGAAAATGACGAAGAATGGAAGCGAAAGAATCGGAAAACCATTGGCCAGATCAGACAATAGATCGATCACAGTGTCTTCCACCATGTCGCCCAAGAGACTGATGCCTATGCTCTCTGGACGAAGTTAGAAGGCATGTACCAGTCAAAGACTGCTCGGAACAAAGCCCTCCTAATGAGAAAACTTGTAAATTTGAAGCTGAAAGGCGGTATCTCTGTTGCTAAACACACCAGTGAGTTTCAAAATCTAGTGAACCAACTGGCAACTGTCAAAATGGAATTAGATGATGAGATGCAGGCCCTTTTGCTGCTCAGTTCTTTGCCAGATAGTTGGGAGACGTTGGTGGTGTCCCTCAATAACTCTACACCAAAAGGAAAACTAACCATGAGCATGGTTATAGATGCTCTATTCAGTGAAGAGACAAGGAAGAAAGATATGGATGGAGATCAATCCCATGCCCTCGTCATAGAAAATAAAGGTAGAGGTAGAGGTAGAGGCAGGGGAAGAAGCAAAATTAGAGGACGCAGCAGATGAAGATCTCAAGACAGAGGGAAATTTAGAGAAGGTACGAGCCGGCTAAGGTTCACGTGTTACCATGGTGGCCAGGAGGGTCACATAAAGAAATATTGCTATGCCTTGAAGGGAGAACAAAAACAAGGCAATAGACAGCCAAAGACTGAAGATGGGTACACTACAGTCCCTGTCTCAGAGGATATTGCATTATTCTCTGTTGAAGAAGACGAATGCCTCTATATGTCTGACAACGACACCAAGTAGGTGGTAGATACAGTAGCTTCCTACTACGCTACATCCCGAAAGGAGTTTTTCAGTACGTATCAAGCTGGAGATTTTGGTACAGTGAAGATGGGTAACTCTAGTTTTTCGAAGATTGTGGGAATCAGTGATGTTCGCATCCAAACCAAAGTTGGGTGCACGATGGTGTTGCAAGATGTTAGGCATGTTCTCGATTGACACCTGAATCTTATCTCAGGGATAGCCTTAGATCGATAAGGCTATGAGAACTACTTCGACAAAGGCATATGGAAGTTGAAAAAGGGATCTCTGGTGGTAGCCAGAGGACAGGCAATTGGCACACTGTACAAGACTCATGTGGAGGTGAATTCAGATCGCCTCAACGAAATAGAAGATGGGGCGTCACCAAATTTGTGGCATAAAAGGTTAGGTCACATGAGTGAAAAACGGTTGCAGATTCTGGTAAAGAAGTCTCTTATTCCCTTTGCCAAAGATGAGAAATTGAATCCTTGTGACAACTGCTTATTTGGGAAGCATCATAGAGTCGCTTTCTACTCATTATCTGGAAGACAATCAGAGTTGTTAAGCAGAGTATACTCTGATGTATGCGGTCCCATAGAAGTGGAATCTTTGGGTGGCAATAAATACTCCCTAACGTTCATTGATGATGCATCACGGAAAGTATGGGTTTATGTCCTAAAGACCAAAGCTGAGGTGTTCCAGCATTTTCAAACATTCCATGCTATGGTGGAAAGGGAGATCGGAAAGAAGCTTAAATGTCTCCGAACAGACAATGGAAGCTGTAAGAAATAATGTATAGAGAAAGAGAGAGAATAAATTGTATGTATTATTATTGATTGATATATTGATGTTATGGTTACAATGATTCCTATATATAGGAGAGGGTGAGTGTGTAGTAGGTGAGGAGTAGGTGAAGTGGAGGTGGTAGTGGTGTAGTGGGTTAGGTTTAGTGGAGTAGGTGAGGTGGTAGTGGTGTAGTGGGTTAGGTTTAGTGGAGTAGGTTTAAGTGGGTGAAGTAGGTGGAGAGTAGGTGGATTTTAACAGAAGCGAGTACACATCAAAGGAGTTTGAAGCATACTGTGCTACTCGCAGCATCTGACATGAGAAGACTGTTCCTAAAACTCCACAACACAATGGTGTAGCCGAAAGAATAAACCGAACCATTGTGGAGAAGGTCAGATGTATGCTCAAAATGGCGAAGCTATGTTGCCTGCTATCTGATTAACAGATCGCCATCCGTTCCACTGAATTTTCAGATTCCAGAAGAAGTATGGTCTGGAAGGGAGATTTCTTACTCTCACTTGAGAGTATTTGGGTGCAAAGCATTTGCACATGTATCCAAGGAGCACAGATAGAAGCTGGATGACAAAGCCACTCCATGCATCCTTATTGGCCATGGAGATGAAGAATTTGGATACAGATTGTGGGATCCGAAAAACAAGGTCATTCGAAGCCGAGATGTGGTGTTTCAAGAAGGTCAGACCTTAGAAGACTTTGGGCAACCAGCCAAACTCAAAGTTGATGATGTTTAAGAAATTATTCCCAATCCTATACCATCACAGCATGCCACTGATGAAGAAGAGCTACCGCAACATGTAGCCAATGATGTAGAGTTGTTGGATAGATTTCCAGAAGAAAAAGATCCAGAAGCAGAGGGTGTTGAGCAGGGGGAGCCACAACCCCCTCCGCCAGAGACTATTGGTCCACAATTACGAAGATTAACAAGAGAGTCTAAAGTCATTATCCAAATACCCTGCTTCTGAGTATATTTTGCTTACTGATGAGGGGGAGCCAGAAAGTTTTCAAGAAGCTCAGAATCACAAGGAGAAGAGTAGCTAGCAGCAAGCTATGCAAGAGGAGATGCAGTTCTTGCAAAAAAACCAAACTTATGATTTGGTAAAACTTCCCCAAGGGCGAAAACCACTGAAGAACAAATGGGTGTTCAAGTTAAAGAAAGATGGTAGCGGAAAGCTAGTCAAGTATAAGGCTCGATTGGTTGTCAAAGGTTTTGCTCAGAAGAAAGGAATTGATTTTGATGGAATCTTCTCGCCAGTTGTGAAAGTGACATCTATTCGAGTAGTTTTGGGACTAGCGGCTAATTTGAATTTGGAACTTGAACAGATGGATGTGAAGACGGCATTTCTCTATGGTAATCTAAAGGAAGAAATTTACATGGAGCAGCCAGAAGGTTTTGAAGTCAAAGGGAGAGAAAACTTAGTCTGCAGATTGAAGAAGAGTCTCTACGGCCTCAAACAAGCACCGAGACAGTGGTATAAAAAATTTGACTCATTCATGATGAGTCATGAGTACAAGAGAACTGTTACAGACCAGTGTGTATATGTCAAGAAATTTCCCGATGGAAACTTCATCATACTCCTGCTCTATGTTGATGACATGCTGATCGTTGGACAGGACGCCACAGCAATTAGATCACTGAAGAAGGAGTTATCACAGTCCTTTGACATGAAGGACCTAGGCCCTGCACAGCAAATTTTGGGCATGAAAATTCTGCTTGACAAGAAAGCCAAGAAGTTGTGGCTGTCACAGGAGAAGTACGTTGAATAGGTGATTGAGACGTTCAACATGAAAGATGTCAAGTCAGTCAGTACTTCGCTGGCTAATCATTTCAAGTTGAGCAAGAGTTCTTGTCCCTCCTCTACAAAAGAAAGAGAAGAGATGGAGGGTATTCCCTACTCATTCGCCGTAGGGAGTTTGATATATGCAATGGTGTCCACCTGACCAGATATTACTCATGCTGTTGGAATAGTAAGCAGATTCCTTTCCAATCCAGGAAAAGAGCATTGGGAAGCAGTCAAGTGGATTCTGAGGTACCTCAAGGGTACGGCAAAAATGTGTTTGTGCTTTAGAGATGCTAAACCAGTCTTGGAAGGCTATACGGATTCTGATATGGCAGGAGATCTTGATGGTAGAAGATCTACATCAGGATTTATGTTCACTTTTGCAGGGGAAACTACGTCTTGGCAGTCCAAGCTGCAAAAGTGTGTTGCTTTATCCACAACTGAGGCAGAGTATATCGCCACAGTAGAAGCTGGGAAAGAGATGTTGTGGTTAAGGCGGTTTCTCCAAGAGTTGGGATTAAAGCAAGAAAAGTTCACGGTATATTGTGATAGCTAGAGTGCCATAGACCTGAGCAAGAATTTAATGTACCATTCTCGCACAAAGCATATTGATGTTCAGTATCATTGGATACGTGAAGTGATGGAAAAGTAATTATTGGAACTGATCAAGATCCATACAGATAAGAATCCAGCTGATATGCTAACAAAGGTGGTCTCGAGAGACAAACTCGAAATTTGCAGAGACATTGCAGGGATAGACTTCAAGTGAAAAGTCAGTCATGCATATGGGTATGGAGAGGGAGAATTGTTGCTCCAGCCCCACGCATGCATGTAGAGAGTCATGCAAAGATGGCATATGAGGACCTCCACCACAAGTGAAAGCCTGAGCTGAGCATCTGCATAACTCTCCCTTCTCTTCACGTTATTGCCTTTGTTGATTCTCACCATTAACCATTAAAGAAGGTAGAAATTTTGGATGAGATTTGCCCCCCTCTCCCTCACTCTCTTTGTGTATAAATAGAGACGGAAGGGAGAGGATGTATCATTAGAAATTAAGAGATAGAGAGCTGTGAGTTGAGTAAGAGTTGTTCTCCTCCTCTGTTTTGTATTTGCTCTGTTTAGTGAAATTCTCGTTTCTGTCTGTGGATGTAGGCATTGGGCTGAACCACGTAAATATTTGAGTTCTCTGTGTATGTGTGATTGCTTCTTGTTATTTTCTAGGTGTCCATGATCCTAACACGATATCTATTTCATAGTAATATTCATGGGAATAATTAAAGCATGTAATTCAAATAGTGTTAATTTAACTCCATTCCTGAAGGGGGCATGCCAAGGAAACAAAGCCCTACTCCAAAATTGCTTTGAATTGACTGAGTTTCATTGTTATTTGCTCATAATAGTGGTTTTTTTTTTTTTTTTGGTTATTTGGATCTTTATGCTGCCTATTATGAGCTTCATATTTGGTTAAAAAAAATGATGAATTGGTATATTGACTTATATCCAGCACTTCCAGAAAATTTTAAAAATCTCACTTTGTACAAGGGTTGTCCTTCAAAACATCTCATATAAAGACCCTCCAAAAAATTAATCTACAAATATAATCTTTTTGATTGGTGTGAAATCATATTAAATATATATATATATATATATCTTACATTTTGTTCGAGAAAAGAAATTAATATCTTATGTGGATTCCTATAATTTTTTAATTAGACAACTTATGAAACTTTTTTATGACCTAAGCACATCGAATCATATTCAAACAATTATATACAGCTTGTTTGTTACAACTTCTTATAAGTTGAAAGTCGATAATAAGAAAAAATTAGCTAAAACCATTCCACCCTTAGCTTTCCAATAATAATTTTTTTTTTTAAAAATTATTTAAACTATTTTTATCTCATAAATATAGTAACCAAAAGTTTCACCAAAAATATTCTCAAGATAAATAAAACAAAATAAAAAAAACACTACAGCTAGCCCCAATATATTCCACCAAACAAGACCATAGGCTTATAAGAAGCAAATAAATACAAATTTGTATTAGCCTTTTTACGTATAAGGTGCGCCTCACTTTGGTGAGCCCCAAGAGACCTTAGCACCTCGGTGCACCTATCGCCTTTAATAACATTGGTGTTTTATAATTTTTTATTAGGCTAATGAAATCGGTCCCTGCGTTACTTCCAGCCACATGGAAGATTTCTAAGTCCACCCCTACATAAAAGCTTTTTTTTTTCATTTTTGTATTTATAACCGATGGTTTTCATATATGTTGTGCATTGCTATTTAACATGTACATGCGTTGAATATTTATTTAAGCACTTATTTGGAAAATACCAAGTAAATTGTGTTCTCACACAAAAAATAAATAAATAAATAAATAAAATAATAATATTTACACATATATTTATATTTATACTATATTATAATGGTGAATTCAAAAGTGAAGTTATGTAACATTTTTTTCTAGGAAAAATTGGTCTAACATCTCTCTCCAACTTTTGGTAATCGGAGAGGTCCACAATAATTTTTTTTGTAGTCTAAGGTCCCTTACCCACATCCATATATAACACCAACTCTCTCATGCTCTCTCATCTCTCTTCTCGCACCAAACAAACCCCCCCCCTCTCAATCCAAAGTTTGATACAGAAACATAACAATCCACATCTTCCTCATGATCTCTCATACCAAAAAGCATTTGACTTTCATCATTTTCCTCAATCGCATGATCATCTTGGCATCGATCTATCACAAAATCTGATTCACTTCGATCCGAATTATCACCTTCTTCAATCTGATCATCATCATCATCATCATCATTCAAATATACGACGGGGTTGGACCGGTGAGAGTGGTGGCGGCGAAGGTAGTAGGGATCGATCTCTGGTTTAAAAATATTGAAGACGAAATGACCTCGAACTCCTACCGAATAGCTCAAGTTTACTCGTGAGAGACACATCGCTCTTCTCATTCTCCTTCAATCTCAACAAACTTAGGGTTTTGAGAGCTACAAATTTCGCCAAAGAGCTTAGGGAGAGCAGTGGTTGAGATAGCAAGGGACAACGGCGAGGATGATCTTGAGCCTATGGGTGTCAAACCTGAGGAAGTTGTTTCCGCCGCTGAATCCGATGGCGCCTCAAAGAGATGGGGATGATGATGATCAGTTTCAGAACTCCATGATCAAAAAGAATATCTCAGATCTTGGTCTATACTACCGCTCAAATCTAGATCCCATATCTCACATGTTTCTAACGATGAGGAGAGAGAGAGAGAGAGAGAGATTTATGGTGCTCTATTCTGGTGGCTCAATCTCCGGTTTAGTGTAGGTACTACTAATTCTAAAGATGCAAATTAGGGAAAATTTCCCTGGTTTGGTTAAAACAATTTTCTCTGATTTAAAATCATTGTGCTAAAATTTCCCTGGTTTGTTTAAAAGATTTAGTCTTTGGAAGCTGAAGTTCTCTAATTTGTGAAAGGTTCAAGGGTTTTTTATGTTAGTCCAGAGATCCAGAGAAATTTGATATTAATCCAGAGAAATTGAATGTCAGTCCAGAGAAATGTGTGAAAGGTTCAAGGCTTTTTGATGTTAATCTAGAGAAATTTGAATGTTGTTTGAACCCAGAGAAATTTTTTGAGAAGTCTAGAATTTCTCTGGTTTGAAATTTCTCTGGATTAATATTGAGGGACCTTAGACATTATGAAAATATTGAATATCCTTTATGCTATAAAATCTTAATGTCAATGATCTAAAAAAAACCCTTTTTCTAAACCAAAAAAATCACCCAAAAAAATATTTTTTTAACCATTTAGATACTTTCTTTTGGATATTATTTTGGGCTAAAATAGTTATATAGGATACAATTTGCTATTTTAGCCAAAAACAAAATATCACATCCAATCTATAATCATTTTATTTTTTCTCTTACAAAAATCAAAAAAGTCAAAAAGTCTATCACAAACAAAACTTTTTAACCCCAAATTACAATAACCAAAAAACCAACCCACATTCCGAACCAAGGCTCATGTATCTACCAATTACAAGGGCAAGGCTCATGTATCTACTAACTACAAGGGATAAATAATGAAATCTACTATTAGCCCATCTAATGATTACTTTAATTTTTAATCTTTACACCATATCACTAACTAAATGTAGAATTGAAAACTTATCGCACTAGTGTGTGTATATATATAAACCTCAGTATAAGCATTAATGGCAGCACCGAATTGATCTGTGTTGAAGTATTTGTTGCCGTCTAGCCGTAGTTGATCTGCTAGTTGCGCCACATTTTGTTTCACCGCGGTAGGAGCCATATTTTCTTTCTATCTCTAATCTCTTTCTCTGTTAATAGATCCTCCGCCGTAAGACTTCCAATATGACTGACCTAGGTTTTCTCTCTATTCTGTTTCTATCTCTCCAACTCTAATCTACTCCAACTAACCTAATCTAATCTACTATTTATCCAATAAAATTTAGGATAAATTATAAATATTCCCTTAAAATTTGTCTAAAATATGAATTGTCTCCCGTAAAAAATTACAAATATTTTTTTGTCAAAATTTTTTATTTAATAAAATTAATTAAAAATGTAAAATTTCTAACTGTTCACCCATATAATAATAAAATTATTTAAATTATTAACTAAAATAAAATTTTAACATTATTAAAAAATGTTAATTAACTTGATAATTTATTAATAAAAGAACTTATTTGTTATGAATTTAGAAACCTTAAGGGATATAATGTAGTTTTTACAACTACATGGGATAATTTATAATTTAAGTAAACCTTAGGGGTCTGTTTGTAATTTGCCTAAAAATTTATGAAATAAAAATGACAAAAAAAATTCCTAAGATTTGATTTTTTTTAACAAAAATATATGATGAAATTTTAATTTTGTTAATTTAAATCTTAATATTTTGATTTGTATTTAATTTAAATAATTTTACATATTTTCGTTGAATAAAGTGACTGAAAAATAGTATTTTAACTATTAAAATTAACGAAAAATAATATTTTATATAGACATGTACTGAGTTTAATGACTAAATATTTTTTTAATCAATTTTATTTAACAAAAATATGCAAATTATTTAAATTAAAAACAAATCAATTTTATTAGGATTTAAATTGATAAAATTAAAAATTTATTTTATTACAAGGATCAAATCTGAAATTATTCAGTGTGTTTGGTTTGAGTTTTTTAGATTACGTTTTTTGAAAATTGAGTTTTTTAGTATTCATATTTTTTTGTTAGGAATGCTACAAACCCCCCCGTGGGGGTGACCCCAGTGACCCCAGTGCCACGTGTCGGCATGTCATTGGCTGAAAACAAAAAAAAAATTTGGACCAATGGGAAGGGACCCCAGCACCTCCACTGGGGGTCCGAAACTTTATTCTTTTTTGTTTTTAGTGAATATTTTTAAAATTTTAAACATTTTTTTTTTTAAGATGTATCTTACTTAGATGTATCTAAAAAATAAAAAAATTATGAAAAAATATTTTTAAAAAATTAATAAATACATAAAAATACAAAAAAAAATACTGAATTCTTATATTTTTTTTATATTTTTGAAATTTAGTGAATTTTTAAAAGGTTTTTTTCCACAATTTTTTTGCTTTTTAGGTATATTTATGTTAAGTATGTCTAAAAATTAAAAAAAATTACTTAAAATATTAGAAAATTTTAAAAATAAAAAAATATGAAAAACAAAAATGTAGAATTTTCTAAAAAGTATTTTTGGAAAACTCAAACCTGTCATTAAATTTGAATTTGATGAAAAATGACTCTTTTTCTTACTCCAACGATTTCATCAAATAGTTATCAAATACAAGATTTCACGTTTCTTTCATCAAATTGAGGATCAATGTTCCTTTCATCAAATCATTATTTATGACCGTTGGATTTTCACTACTGAATCTCCCATTGGATGTCCCTCTAGATGACTACTTCAATGCAAAAATTTGTGAAAAACTTACACTGGCCGGTCGATCGGGCAAACATTTGCCTGGTCATTCGCCCGGCCGATCGGTATTCTGATGAAGCTCCACAAACCTCTATTAGAGCACTTAATATCAAATTGTCCTTTTACTCAAATATTTATTTAAATTTAATATACCATTAGAGATACTCTAATATCTATCTATTTATGCTATTATATATGTGAGCACATAATTTGGTATCTAATAGTGTGGTGACTTCTCCTTCTATTGCGTGACAAATCTTCCTATCTTAAATCTTAAAATAAAAAAATATTATTCAAATGCGTAAGTAAGATTTGAATCCAACACATTGGATTTCATTAAAAATATTCTTATTATTTAGCCAATATATATGATATTTATTTTTATATTTACTTATATGCCATCTACTAATATCTAATATATGTATTTATGACAAACTTATCGAGCGGCAAGTATCTCGTTCGGTTTTACTCACGGAAAACACACGGGGGATCGCTTTCTTTCATGTTCCTGACTAGTGGCCAATTATTTCATTCGGCTCCAGGCTATTGAATAATGGCCAGGCCTGGTTTTGGGCAACCTCACATAGCGGTTGTTTTGGGCCTTCAAAAAAAACAAGGGTTGAAAATACGATCCTAAAAATATTTATAGTCCTAAAAATATTTAGGAAAAATTATCAAGAAGTTTCCTTTGAAAAACGTGTAATCTATTTAGTCCCAAAATTTTTTGTTTGTACCCAAAAGTCCAATAACGTTATTCTTCTTCTCTGTCTTTCTTCTTCCTCTCTTTGTGATTTCTAGCAATCGTTGACGGGTAACCATATCTTAGTTCTTCTCTTTTTCTTTTTCTTTTTCTTTTTCTTTTTCTTTCTGATATATAGTCACCGGCGACCAACGACTACCATCGATTGGGATTCACCGGCAACCATTGACCGCCGACTCCTTACCTCACCGACGGTAAAGAAGATATGTTTCTGACGAAGAAAATGAAGAAGATGAGTAGATCTACTTAGATCTGGAGTAGATCTATCTGAGTAGATCTACATCAAATTCAACTAGATCTAAACAAAAAATAGTTGCTAGAGTACAATCATCTCTCTATATTCCCCTTTCTTTTTCGATCTCTTATTTTTTTTACATTTTCTCTGCTATACACTTCTCTTTTTCTGTTCTAATGGAGAAAATTTTCAAATTCTGAACAAGTAGTTTTCGAGTTTTAGTTACAGACGGTGAAAACTGTAAAATTTTGCAGTTTCATAACATTATTTAGAATTGTAAAATTTTACAGTTTCATAACGTGTTTTCCAGTTTGATTAATACGAATAAATGCTTAATAAATTTTTGCTTTGAAACTATAACATTTTACAGTTTCAAAACTTATTTTTCAGTTTGATTAATATTGGAGATTATTTGCTTAAACTTTACAAAAATTGAAAAATAGCATATGTTTTTCCCATTGTTGCTGCTTTTTGTCGCTTCATTTTTTTTCCTTTTAGTTTATCAATATTTAGTACATTTTACTATGTTTTTTTTCGCTCTAATTTCTCCATTTATTCTTTTTATTTTTGGCAATATTCTAGACATTCCGGTGAGTCTCCAATGATGTTCTTAACGTCCAGTGAACGTTCTGAACATTCCGGCGAAACTCCGTGCGACTTCCCAGTGATGTTGAACATTCCGACGAGTCTCCGACGACTGTTTGACGGAAGTTCGACAGTAGTAAAATGTAACAGTGTCTGTAAATTTAAAATAAAAAAAAAGATTTTTTGGGAACAATTAAAAATGTATAGGACTAATTGGTGCAAGTGTTTTGTTTGAGGATTAGCTGAATCTTGAACTTTGTACATGAAACTTATCAGTAAGTTTCCCAAATATTTATAGTCTCATATTAAGCTATTAAAAAAATATCCCATTTAATATTATAAGTTCAAAGGGGGATTCTATTTATACTTAAAAAATTATTAAGTACTTTAAATTTCTAAATACACCTTATTTAATTATTTAAAATTTTATTTTACTCTCATTACACCTTATTATTTTTCTCAAATTACCCTAAAGGTAAACTCAAATAATAAATAATGAACAAACTAAAAAAACTAAATTATTTCAAAAAAAATTTAATACAGAAAATAACTCTCAACTACAAAGGGAAAAAAAAACCAAACTTATAAGCACATAAGCATTATAAATACAGAAAAAAAAAACCAAACTTTTACATAAGCATTATAAAACTTTTTAATACAGAAAAAAAACTTTTACATTATAAATTATTCATGAGAATGCTCGTGAAAAAGTAAATACCAAACTTATAAGCATATAAGCATCAGGAACTAATAAGAAAGAGTAGTTCTCAAATAATGTATTATTTACATAATAAAATAAGAACAACTCCAATAATATGTTATTGTTAATTTAACTACTGGACCCTTCAATTTTTGTCAAAAAAATGATATAGAAAATAATTGATGGTACTCTACAAAAACTGTGAAACTCCTTTATATGAATACTTATCTTATTTTTGATGGGTTGCTTTAAAAAATTATTTTGATTATTACCCTCCTCCATTATTTGATTTTGTTCAAACTTTCTTCTAGAGTTTAGGGTTTCAAAATACTAATAAACAATGATGTTGATGATGATGGTGAGTTTTGGTAGGATGAATTAGAGTTTTGGAGGGAGGATGAAGAAGAAGAATAAGAAAAAGAAATAACTTTGATCTCTTGGGAAAGAAGATACAGAGATTTCAATATGAATTACTGATTAGGGTGTACCATGAAAAAAAAATTTATTTTAGGATTTAATATATGTTGTCTTTATTAGTATATTCATTTAAGATATAATATAAATTTAAATTTATGAATTTAAATTGTACATACTAAAATATATTTTGAGTTCAAATAAAATCTCCCAAGTTCAAAGTACTAAATGAATAAAAGATCCAATTTAAAATATAAATTCATAAAAAAATAGGCCACTTGAATTTTTAAGGTTCAAACTTATGTTTAATACAAAGCCCAAATTGAATTAAAAAGGCCCAAAAACTTAAGCCCCAATGTATATTGTAAAAACTTTTAAAATCAAGTGTAAATAATTTGAGGCCCCAATCATGATTCCTAGAAAGTATATTTCAAGTGATACTTTGTTATTTTTTGTTCACTTTTTTGGTACTTGTAAGAGGGGCTAATTTGAGCCCACTAAATTATTTAGGCCCAATAGCCCAAGATTAGTGGGCCCAAATTTATCGCAAGTCCAAGACTTTTTTTTTTTTTTTTGGTTATATATGAAAGGCTCCATATTTGGTGCTTGTTTTGAACCTCAAAAAACTCAAAGCCGGCGGCATTGATAATGGGGGTTGTGTCAAATACTTCTTCAGCTCTTCTAGAGTTTGGTTGTATTCTGGTGTCCAGACAAATTGGGATTTCTTCCTCTGCAATTGAAAAAAGAAAAAGAAAAAAAAAAAGGTGGCATCAAT